TACATTTATTGCTCCGCTCAGATTGTAATATAATATATTATTGTAAAACCAATATTGTTTTAACCTTTATTGTTTCAGTTGGAATCTCAAATATATTATAACATATTGATAATTCAATTTCAATTAGTTTAAGTTAATTCTGTAGGTTCAATGTATCCTAATAACTAAGCAATATTAAAATATATGATATAATAACTTCTTCATGCCATATTGCCATACAAAAATGAAAACAACAAATACCTACGAAATTAGTGGGGAATATTAAAAGAATCACCTACGGCTGTATCATTTAATAAATTAATTTTAATGATAGGTACACACTATTGTAATTAAAAATATTTTTAAACTTACCATTATAAACGCGATGAATTTAAATCAGATAAATAAATAACAACACACAAATTACTATAAAATATATAAACAATTAAGTTGGTGAATAAATGTATGTGCAAGTGACTGGACGTCTGGACTGCAAATGACAACACAATCATATTATTGTTGTCTACAGAGATAGTCAATGGCATATCTAGACGATGCCACTACACTAAAAATGGGAAAACCCGAAGAAGTACAGCACGCAAGTAACGACAGGTCCACCATGCGATGAGAAATAACAATAGGCACCGTTTAAAAATATTATAACAAGATGCATTATTACCACAAGCATTCATAGGTTTTATATTTTTCACTAAATTTATACAATTATTATTATTTAATATTTATGGGTTTTAATTCTGTGATAGACAGTGGAGGCAATCGGGACAGTTGCTCCGGGCCCGTGGCAACGCCCGACACGTCGCCGCGTAGTACCGAAAATACGTCGCGTCAACTACTGTTCTTATTTTGATCAGACTATGTATAAGTTATTTTTATTTCTAATAATTTTTATGTTTTTGATTTTGTTTGTAGTTTGTACTACATAATTTATAATACTAGTTGGTATATTTAACAAGAATAAATACATTACTATTTTAAAGTTTTAAATTACGAGTATTAACATGGTAGAATAGTTTATAATATTACAAAATATTTTATATTAATTATATTATAAGCATTAAACATACTAGGCGATTGTACTGACATGGTATAAATTTATCGGTGACTTTACAAAAAAATACATAATTTATACTAAGTCGCAAAAAAAATATTAGGACATTCAGTCAATATTGTCCAACAAAGGCTGTAGGATAGGATTCAACTGAGTCTTTAAATGTTCATGGGCATTGTAAGATTTTTCAAACGCTGTTTAGAGTCGACTTAACAGTCATATTATTATCCATAATTGTATGTAGTTTTTTTATGAATTGAAATTGTTAACCTAGTTATAATATTATGGCCTATGGGTATATAATTATGTAAAATATTGCTAAAGCAGTTTGAAGTTTTTGTGACCATGTGAAGGGACTGCATGAAATTGCGCTCCACGCGCTATTTCGTGTTTTACCATCCGCTAAACGAATTGCATTTTTTTCGAGGGACATGCATTAGTCCAAGAAAAATTGCCAAATGTCGATACCAGTTTGAAGTCAGTGGGACCATATGGGCCGTGTAGCCTACCTTATGGTAATTTTAGTTATAGTTATCTAGTATATTTAAAAAAAAATTATGTTTATTATTATTTTTATACCAATTATAGGTTACATGGGAAATTTTTGAATAAAAAAATTCGGAAAAAAAATGTTTGCAGTCGACAACTTCAATAATAGATTACCTAACTAATATTTGCTATTTATCCGCTTACTAACTGTGCTTGTTTCGGATCATCTGTGTGGGGGCCTTGAACTTTGCGTGAACTTGGTCCAACCATAATTATTTTTGAATTTACGGGCCTCACGATGAATTGCAAATTTTTTGGCAAGACATGCAATTAATTGCATAAAAATTGCAAAATTTTGATACCGGTTTGAAGTCTGTGGGACCATGTGGGGGGGTTGCGTGAACTTATACCCCCCATAAGTATTTTTGGATTTACGGGCCTCGCGATGAATTGCAAATTTTTTGGCGAGACATGCAATTAATTGCATAAAAATTGCAAGATTTTGATACCGGTTTGAAGTCTGTGGGACCATGTGGGGGTGCCAACTTCACGAACGTCTCACCACCATAATGTAGGTATATGTTTTCATTGTCTACTTGATTTATATAATTATTTGGTGGTCAATTACTGTACCCGCTATCTATTGACATTCTTACGCTACTAATATTCATATTCCCATATTGTCCATTGACTTGGTCTATCTATGTATATTTAATCAATGGTAAAATTACGTGTCCGTGTAATGGAATTATCTTCTCAGTACCTATGTTATCAGTGAATAATCCGGTGTTGTGTTTATTTTTAGAAACCCAGTAAATTTTATTATATGTACACTATAGGTATATATAATATTATTACGTGTACATAGAGTTTGGGTATGAACTGAAAAAAAGTTACATACAATATTATGGTCTTGCAAGTCGTAAGTGCAATAGCGTAGTTTAAAACGTTGCAAACGTAGGCGTTTAAGTCTATGCCCGGATATGAACACGGCAAGCGGAAATACAAATGTCGTATTTATACTGAATACGTAACGCGTAAAGGTGAAAATGGCGTGTATATATATATATATATATACAGTAATAAACAATGTCGCATATACGGAAACGCATCGTATGAATCCGGCTCGTGTACGTACAATGTCATGAATAAGACAGTAGGTACGTGGGCTACAGAAACGTTATAGTATTAATTATTATGTATTTCAAAATTGTATTCACCGGTTTTGAAAAGCGCCCAATACAATACACAATACGCGAAGAAAAGCGAAAAACCTTATAATTATATATTATAAACTTTTCTGTGCGCTCGGGGGGTTGTGCGTCGCATGTGCGCTCGTCAGAAGTCAAAATATGACAGAGAGACAACGGATAACGAGGGCACAAAAGTTGTCCCCCGCACGTCACCACTCCACCAACCAACCGGAATCAATTGATAATAATTAATGGTCATACTGTAGCATTGTGTGTATCGTTGATATTGAAGAGACGCTCGTAATTATTAACCGTCTGACGCGCATAAATAATCGTACGTCTCAAGCATATTATTGTATATAATTATTATATGTACATAATTATGTAGGTATGTACAGTACATACAGACACAATAGAACGTCGTTTGTAATAGATCAAACCACAGAACTGCGTTTACATTATTTGACTTACCTAAAAACCGTATATACCAAGTACCTACTACATTGTATATTATATATCGATCCCATCAATCGATCAAACCTCCCTATAATATAAGTAATAGTAATAGTCATATAATTGTACAATTTAACTGCCAGAATTCAATCAGTTCTATTAGATCTACTGTTTACACACAATGCAAACTGTTAAAAAAAAACATATTTTATATGGTAGGTAGGTATACCAATACCAAAAATATAAACAGTAAATAGTACATAGCTTAAACTTTTAGACCAATGGACCAAAATATGTACTAATTTCACTATTAATTAATGTACATACATAATATGCTAGTAAAATGAAAAATAATGATGAAATGCAATAAAATGTAATATAAGGTTAGTTATATTGTACTTGTACTATTTTCTATTCAATCAAGTACCTATAAAAGATACATTTAGGCGCGTTGGTCATGGTAAATGTGTAGATAATAAAATCAAGTATTAATTATTATTATTGTTATTTATTAAATAGTTTAATAAGTATAGTATAGTCTTAACTCTTAATAATAAACTGCATAATTAAATACATAATTAAATATATATACATGTAAATACTACCTATTAAGGTAACGCGAATAAGTCTTGGACGAGGAGGTCCATGATAATTTCGGTAAAACTCGAATTTTGAAAAAAAATCGGAGCAAACCTATGATAAGACGGAACCGATAAAGAAAAGACGAAAAAAAAAAGTTCGAATAATCACGGCCGCCGCAAATGATTGATATCGCCGGGGGACGGGATCGAACCCACGACCCCGAGTTGTTTCTCCTATGCCTACATCTATACAACCTAACCGCCTATTGAGATGACAACCGGTGTCAAATCTACGACTTTTAAGGATCGGGTACACAGAACGCGGTCTGTCGCGGCGGTCAGCGATAATTTCCCGCGGCGGTAAGACGGTAAAGTTAAATATCCGCAATATAAGCAAAATATCCGAAGAATTGGGTATTACCGGTAAGTATATAATTTATAGTAGAAACTAGAAACATAATATTATAATAAAATCAAATAGATTTAATTTTAATAGAATAGACTTCTATATTTATACCTAATACCTAGTCTTTAGGTATCAAGTATTTAAGTATCTAATTTATAGTAATTATTCTCTATTTAATTTATCACAAATAAATCATCTATGTTCTGTGCTGTACTAGTATGTTTTAATAATAGAATATTATGCATTATATACTAAGTTTAATTTGTAGGCACCTACTAGTCCTGCTATTTTATTAAATATATTATTTTGCTGTGAGTTGAGAGTGTTGTGACAAACAATATATTTTGGCATTCAATAATTTTATTTAATTTTAATTTTAATGTTACTATACGCTATTAATAAAATCAGTAAATACGAGTATCAGATTTTTCAATCTTAAAATAGTATAAATAATAAATATACTATCTAAAAATGAATTCGAATAGTATATTAATAAGTTTATCGATAATAATAATACTGAGTTATAATCTACAGTAGACATGGAAACAAATATGGAATACTATACATATATTGAATATTAATAATATTATATTATTTCTGATAATAATAATACAAAAACAAAATACACACTATATTCTATTTATTTTTATTTTAAATAGACTTCAAAGACAACAGTATTTTTTCTATCAATATATTAACACAATATAACAAAAGTAATAATAATATAAAATTACACAATATGTAAATAGCTTTATTGAGTATACCATATTATAATATTTTAGTATATTAATAATATTTTTTTAATTTTGAAATATGTATGGTTTAGTAAATTATCTATTGAAGTAAGCAGTAAAAAGTTCGCGGATTTCTAAAGCAGCATTATTCGACCTCCGATTGGTCAATGCTGTGTCTAATAATGCTCGTATAGGTTGAGCTTGCTCTTCATTTTCAATGGCTGGATATTCTCCGTTATTTTTCATCATGACGAAATTGTGCAAACAACATGCTGCTTTGACAATACATTCCGCAGTTTCAACGTCTGTTTCTATAGCTTTTAAGAATACTCGCCATTTCATGGCCAATATGCCAAACGCGTTTTCAACTACACGACGAGCTCTGCTTAGTCGTGCATTGAACTTTTTTTTTCTCACATCATGAATCATCCCAGCTTTTGGGTAAGGTCTCATCATATAAGTTTGAAGTGCAAATCCTTCGTCACCTACGAATACATGAGGAACGGGGACGTCAGTGCCTGGTAGTGGCTTCGGAGATAAAATAATTTTATCATTCACGTATTCCCGGTAAAAAGCGGAATTTTCAAAAATGCCACTGTCGCTATGTCGCCCATAACTACCAATGTCAACAACCATAAATTTGTAATATGGGTCAACTACAGCAAGTAGAACTATCGAGAAAAAATTTTTATAACAAAAATAACTTGTACCGCTATTTTGTGGACATTTTAGTTTAATATGTTTGCCGTCTATGCTTCCAAGACAATTAGGAAACCCCCAAAGTTCTGAAAATCCTTCTACTGAATCTATCCATGTCTGTGTTGTAGGTTTAGGTAAATAAGTAGGTTGTAGAACATTCCAAATTTCATGACAAACATCTTTCACAATTTTGGAAACAGTTGATCGACCCACTCGAAAAGAGAATGCAATAGTCTGATGACTATCACCTGTGGCCAAATATCTGAAAATTGTTAAATGATAAATATAAATGAATATTTGAATTCCACGATAGGTATCATTGCATACAAAAAACGATTCAGAACGGAGACATTAAATTTAGGTAGGATAATTTATATTATTGCATTTATTAGTGATTTATAGGGCAGAGGACTTGTAGCATTTGCATATTTATTTTGCACAGTCACAAAAACAGCAGAGTGCGAAACAAATGCGTTTCATGCTTCCTCAAAGCTATTGTTTTGAAATTTTATTGTGCATATAAATGCATATTTTGCGTTTTTTTTTTATTTTAAGGCATATTTTGCGTTTTTATGGCAAATTTCTTCCATTTTATACTTTTAGATGCATATTTTAAATAATTTATAGTTTAACGATTTTACCAATATTTTTTCGTCGATGTTTTTATTTATTTATTCACATAACCAAAATAACGTTGATATTATCGACGATATTTCCGATCAGATGCCGCAATTTATCGGGTAATTAATTTTATTTATAGACAGATAAGATAATATTTTTCAACTCACAAAATTAATAATTCAAATAATTAATTTTAAGTAGTTAAATAAAGTTGAAAATTAAATTTATTCATCAAAATATTGAGTACCAACAGAAAAATTCTTATATTTTATTCAAAAATATTCACTTTAAAATGCATATTTTTTATATTCAAGTGCATATTTTTAATGGATATTTTGTATATTTAAATGCATATTTTGTGACATTTTAGAGCTACAAGGCCTCTGCGCTAGTGATTTATAATGGTAAACATTTAAACCTTCAAATGTTTCTAAAACATATTTACGGAATATTGTTCGACTATTATAATGTTATTATTTATATTAATCTTAATTTATGTAGAACCTTATTTATTTTATAACCGACTCCGCAAAAAATAAATGGAAGAATTTAAGAGATTCTTATTTGAGGTACAAGAAATGCGTACAAGGAGAAACAGGACAAGCTAAAAAGTATCATAAATGGCCATGGAGTAGTCATTTAGAGTTTTTGGATGACAGTATCAAATACCGTCCACAGAGTAGCAATATAACAGAAAGTGAAAACATCATATCACCTCCAAAAGAAAAAACTCCACCAATAATTCAACATTTACAAAAGAGCAATTTATCCAGCGACGAATCTCCATCTTCTTCACGAATGCACAGAAAAAACTTAAGATCCGCCCTGCAATTTCTGCGAAGGAATCATCTGAAGTGGATAGAGTGATTGAATATTTGGAAAACAAAAAAAAACCAAAAGTTCATGATGGCATAGATCATTTATTTTTGAGCTATGCGGATACTTTCAAAAAGTTTCACCCAAGAACTCAAGCTGAATTGAAAATAAAGATTGCTACATTATTTGCACAAACTGAAATGAAAGAAATGCAGTATTATGAACAAAATATTTCACCTATGTATTCCGACAACTCTACTACCAATTCTCAACATTTTGTTGGATCACGAAGCTCTTCCAACTCGGTACACACTTATAATGTACCAAACAGTGAGACATCATACAAATCGAGTGACACTTCATTAACTTCGGCGGGGGATTTTTATGAAAGTCCTAGCAATTATTCAATAGCTGATTTATTAGGATTACCACCTACTTCAAACTAAATGAATATATTTTTTTCTTTGATAAATAAGCCATAAGGTATAAAGACATACCAAACATATTTTTTCATTTAAAAAAATATGTTATACATTTTGTTTAAAAGGTTTATCTAATGTTATTTTTTTTATTTTTATAAATAATTAAAAACTGAATTGTTTTGTTTGAATAAATTAAGTTGTAAAAGTAAAAGTATTGTATTAAATTAATTTATTTTATTTTTAAATCCATAAATAATAAAATATAATGATTTATTAATTATTATATATTAACTTACCTCAAACAAATTGCTAATTTCTCCTTTGTCTCAATTGGTTTTCTCCAGTTTGTGAGACATTTCTCAATATTTGGTTTTATTAAATTATGCAGTTCTTCAAAACACTCACGTGACATACGAAAATATTTGAAAAAACGATCTTCATGTGACAGCAGTTCAATACACAGTCGATGGTATTCACCCAACTGTTCCCTGGTTGTATTAATTTCATGTACCCATTTTCGTTTTTTCCTTCTATTTTTAAGGGCAAGTAATAAAAGAAGTTGTTCCTCGTCAGAACTTGACATAATTGTAAAGTGGCGATTATTAAAAAATGAAATCAAGTGGATAGATATAAGCAACTGTGTACTATATTACTAGATTACTAGATTATGACTGTTGTAGCCTTGTAGGCTTCTAACCGACCGCTCACAAATTATCGCTGCCTGTGTGCCGTCATCAGATCGCTGACCGCCGTGGCGACCGCGTGATCGCTGACCGCCGCGACAGACCGCGTTCTGTGTGCCCGAGCCTTTAAGCCGCGTCGCCGTCCATCCGAAACGGCGTCCGCGTCCCCCGAAGAACGTCCGAGCGGGGGGATCGACCGCATCGGGAAGCGGACGACCGGTGAGATTCGCGAAAAAATTGAACTTAAATTGTATTTATGCCTGTATATAGCGATACCCATAATGTACCTACTCTCGTTTCCGCGTCGCCGCTCCTCCCCGGGACTCGTTTTTGAAACGACTATTATACTTAGCTTGGAACGCGAATACGTATTCGGTGGGGAGGTGAAAAGTCTCCGGACGAAGCGAAACGCAACTCTGTTCGAAAAAGTCGCAAAAACCGTCGAAAACGCGACGACGCCGTATGAAGCCGCGCATACACTAGACCCGAACCGGCCGGACCGACCGAACCGAAAAATATTCGGTCCGAAGTTTTTCGGGTATAGCTGCATTGAGTGTCCCCGAATTTTCGTTCCGAAAACAAAGTTAATAGCTAAATAGATAATTAAATAATCATATTATGTCGTGACTTGTGATAATAACTAGAGTAAACCATATATTGTATCTTCTACAATCAGTTTTCGACAGTTGACGAATGCATCGCATGGTGTGCAGTTGTAAAAAATATGGAATATAATAGTTCTTCAGATGATGAATGGGATTCATTTTTATTAGAGAGCCCGATCTTCAAATCACGGAAAAGATATTGGGTGCATGAACTTTGGCAACAACGAGATGATAGTGGCGAATTTCAAAATGTGTGCACTGTTATAAAAAATTACCCATCAAAATTTTATAATTACTTTCGTATCGATATATCAACGTTTGAATATATTTTAAATGCCATAAAAAACGATTTGACAAAATATTCAAATTTTAGACGCTGCATTGAGCCCGAAGAAAAATTAGCTGTTACTCTCAGGTAAAGTTATTTTAATTTTATTAATTTAAAATTTAAAAATTTATCAAATATATAAATATTAATTTTTAAATAAAATATAGGTATTTAAATATTCAAAGAGAAAAAAAATATTGTAAATTACTGTAACTACTATAATCAGAATTATAGACTATATTAACTTTTATTATAACTTATTATTTAAAATACTATTATTATTAAAAATATTGTACATTTACATAACTTTATATTAATTATTGACACTCGTTTGTAACTATTATTTATAAATTAGTGTACGAATATTGGCAATCTTGAACAACAGATGATTTTTCATAATTTTTATTATACAGTAATTGCGGCTGTTGCGTATAATCTGAATAGCCAGATGCACTGGAACTTCTGCTAGGTGTCATTTCTTCCGATTCAAGCGTTTTGGTGATAATACTGAGTACTTCCATTCTAACTTTCATCTTTTTTAATGAATCCATTTTTTTAAAACTTGGCAACAAACTCATTAAAAAGTGGTAATCTTCATCACTATCAGCATTCTTTTTCGTTTTAAGACGTTCTTCAAACAGTTTTATTTTTTTCCGTTCGATTTCTATTGCTTCTGTTTGATACGATTTACGTTTCGAATGTTTCCTATATTGAGGTGTTGTACTTTGCACATTAGGAATATTATTCAACCCAACTTCTTCATCTTCGTGTTCATTTTGTTCAACATGTTCATCTTCATCAGTTAAATCAAGTTCGCTGTTATTATCAGAATCGTCGAGTGTGGGAATTATAGGGTCTCGAGGTATATTGGTCGCTGTATTTCTAGGTGTCATATTATCTTTCAAAAATAACAACTGATTAAAATATGGCCATTTTGAGGATTGTGGTGTGAATCCTTGTCCTTGTCTTTAGGTTTAGGCACTTTCTTAAACTCTTTTCTAAACGTGTCTCTTAAACCTTCCCATTTTTTCTTCGCTTCTTCGGCTAAAATGCATTACATATTATATATATTAAATTTCAGTAATTATACTTAATTAATTAAATTGTTTGATTAATTTGATTAAGTATGTAGTAGGTATGTTTATATTGAGTAATATGTTATATTCATTAATATGCACTATATTGTAAAAGCCGTAAAAAAAAATATCAACACATTTAAATAATGTTTAGTATATGTTTAGTTAAGATTTTATATAATATTTTAAATATTTTGCAGATATTTATCAACTGGTATGTCATTTCGAGCACTTTGCTTTAAAATGCATAATACTACGGTTGGTGCAATTGTATATGAAGTATGTGACGCAATATGGAATAGACTATCGACAACACATTTATCTATTCCAACTCCAGAAGATTTTTTAAGTATAGCAAATGAATTTAATGTGAAATGGAACTTCCCACATTGTATTGGCTGTATAGACGGAAAACATATACGTTTACGAAGTCCTACTCACTCTGGGACTATGTATTATAATTATAAACATTTTTTTTTCATCGTACTACAAGGTGTATCTGATGCCAATTATAAATTTATATTTGTTGATGTTGGAGCGTACGGAAAACAAAGCGACGGAGGAACATATGCATCATCAACTTTGTCAACTTTTATAAATAATGAAAATAATCTACCAAAATCATCTAATTTGGAGGGAACATCTGCAGAAGTACCGTTTTTTATGTTAGGTGATGACGCTTATCCATTAAAACATAATATTATGAAACCCTTTTCTAAACGACTATTATCAAAAGAAGAACGTATTTATAATTATCGTCATGCTCGTGCCCGTAGATGTGTAGAAAATGCTTTTGGAATTATGGTATCAAAATGGAGACTCTTGCATAAACCCATTGAAACAACAGTAGACAATGCAATTAAAATAGTTCAGTGTATTTGTCTTTTACATAACCTTATAATAGATAAAGAAGGGCAACCATGTGCACAAACACTAATATCTGCTGCGAGTTCGTATGAAAACGATAGAAATGAAAAAAATGTAAGGACAAATGTAATAAGACCATTTAATCGGAGTTCAAACTTGGCGACTTTCGTAAGAGATACATTAAAAAATTATTTTATTAGTCCTATAGGATCGATTTCATTTCAAGAACAGTATGCAAACGTTCAAAAGTAGTTTAGTTTAATTGTAGGTATAATACTATAATGAGTAATGACTATTAAGTATTATGTTAAAATTGTATTATTACTTGTATTGTATAGGTATTATTATTTATTATTATTATTTTTGATAATTTAGCTACATTTATTATTATAATTGTATAACTTTAATCTTTTGATTACAAAACAAATTTCTTTTTATAATTAATATTAATATAAGTTTAAATAATGCATTACCTGTTGTACCCAGATTTGTAGCAATACGTGTCCATATTAAAATTTTTTCATCTCTATTATGGTATTTGTCATGTTTTTGATTCCAAATTTGGTTTTCCGCAAATACTAAACTTATGAGTCTTTCTTTTTCAAATTTTATAGATGACATCTTAGCAACTCTCACGTGCGACGTATTTACAACTACTAAAATACTTAGTTAGTACGACTACATTATCGAAATACCAAAGTGAAACGGTTGATAAAATTGTAGATAAAACGCACGTTTTCAAAACATATATACTAAAATATCACGATTTAAGATATATCTAAAGTACTTAATACTAGGACATAGTAGATAATGGGTTATAGGTACACAACGATGTTATTAAAACACCAAATGTGATATGACCACAATATTTCATTTATTAGCGTCTCAAATCAAGAGGTAGGACCTATACATAGAATAGTACCGCTAATTTTCGGCCGAAAAATTCAAACATGTTTGAACGGTTGAAATCCGAACCGACCAGAATTTCGGTTCGGGCTATCGGTTCGGTACAAGTGTATGCACTCACATATAAAATCGGCATTTTGATTTTTTTCGGTTCGGTCGGTTCGGCCGGTTCGGGTCTAGTGTATGCGCGGCTTGAGGGACTCGGCTTTTGAAAAAGTAGGATAGCTCGCCGGCTATAAATCTAGCGAGGAACGCGAATAAGACGCAAACGGGGCGACCCGAGGCCCCCAAGGGGGGTAAAACTCGAAGAGTTTGAAAAAAATCTCAAACAGTGAAAAATCTCAAATATAGACGAGAGAATCGCGACAGCAACGTGAGCTAGTTTTTCGGAGAAGTTATCACGGCTATTAATTATTATTATTGATAGTGGCATTATCATCATAAGATTGTTATCACTAAATATGTACTATAGGAACTATATAATATATACAATATTAAAATTATAATACAATATTACATAATAATACAATAATACAATTTATTAATTATACAATATAATATAGAATAACGAAAATTATAATTTGCTGTACATATAGGGCTACTGAAGTCAGAATTTAAATTGTTTATCATAAAAGTTACATCCTGTGTGGCTGTGTACCTATATTTTAAATTTTTCAAAAAGCCAAATATTAAATACAAATCTACTATATACTATAATATAGGTATATACTTAATATTACATACATATTGGTAGTAAAACGGCTACAGTAAAAATACCTGATCAAAGTTGTAAAGGAGAATCTAGAGTGTATAGTTTGATTTTTTATATTTTTATCAATTAGTCAAAAAATTAACTATCAAAAGTAAAAAAAAAATGTGTCATTATTATATAATACATATAATTTTCCATTCAATGGACTTAGTGCTGCAGTGTGTCTAAAAACACCATTTAAATAATTTAATAAGCTAGTGACTAAAAACATACATACTTTCTGGTGTTCTTTAATACCAGGCTTAATTTCTGGTGAACATTTTTAATATGTTGCAGTGTAAGTGTAGATATAACACTTGATTTTTGAAAAAGTAGATGATCAATTTATTTATTACTTGCTGGTTTTTAAATGTAAATATAGTGTTTAAATCATAAGCTAAAAAAAACAAGTTCATTAGGTAATTGTAAAGTCTGGTTCCAACAGCCCAAGTTACGTACGTTGCGCCGGCCCGGCCCATTTCAAAATTTTGGAAAATTTTTTCACCAATATTTAGCATGCAATTAGCATGAATTTGCACGACTAAAATTAGAATTTGCATGATATTGGTTTAACGGTTAAATCCAAATTTTGATGAGCCGGGCTGGCGCAACGTTGCGCTAGCCCGGCACAAAAGAAAAAATATAGAT